TTTCTAACCAATTTTAATCAATTTTTAAGAATTTGTTATAATTGTAATTTAGCCTTGCAACCTGGTTATAGGCAAACAAACACTACATTCAGGGTTAACTTAAAGACTCTTAGATTACTAAAGGTTTAGTTGGAAAAGATCCTTAGAAAAACTGCAGTAAATGTGCATTGTGTCCTTATAGAGAGAGCAGTGTGGTAGATAAATGTAGAGAACAGTGTGGTAGATAAATGTAGAGAACAGTGTGGTAGATAAATGTAGAGAACAGTGAAGTAGATAAATATAGTGAACAGTGAAGTACATAAATGTAGAGAACAGTGAAGTAAATAAATGTAGAGAACAGTGAAGTAGATAAATATAGAGAACAGTGAATACATAAATGTAGAGAACAGTGTGGTAGATAAATGTACAGAACAGTGAAGTAGATAAATATAGTGAACAGTGAAGTAGATAAATGTAGAGAACAGTGTGGTAGATAAATGTACAGAACAGTAAAGTTGATAAATGTAGAGAACAGTGTGGTAGATAAATGTAGAGAACAGTGAAGTTGATAAATATAGTGAACAGTGAAGTAGATAAATGTAGAGAACAGTGAAGTTGATAAATATAGTGAACAGTATGGTAGATAAATGTAGAGAACAGTGTGGTAGATAAATGTACAGAACAGTGAAGTTGATAAATATAGTGAACAGTGAAGTAGATAAATGTAGAGAACAGTGAGGTAGATAAATGTACAGAACAGTGAATCAGATAAATGTAGAGGACAGTGTGGTAGATAAATGTAGAGGACAGTGTGGTAGATAAATGTACAGAACAGTAAAGTTGATAAATGTAGAGAACAGTGTGGTAGATAAATGTAGAGAACAGTGAGTTGATAAATATAGTGAACAGTGAAGTTGACAAATATAGTGAACAGTGAAGCAGATAAATGTAGAGAACAGTGTGGATAAATGTAGAGAGCAGTGTGGTAGATAAATGTAGAGAACAGTGAAGTTGATAAATATAGTGAACAGTGAAGTAGATAAATGTAGAGAACAGTGAAGTAGATAAATGTAGAGAACAGTGAAGTAGATAAATATAGTGAACAGTGAAGTAGATAAATGTAGAGAACAGTGAAGTAGATAAATATAGTGAACAGTGAAGTAGATAAATGTAGAGAACAGTGAAGTTGATAAATGTAGAAAACAGTGAAGTAGATAAATGTAGAGAACATTTAAAAACCAGTATAATGTGGTTTATCCATGGGCCTTCTGGTGCTTTAAAACCCAGTATAATGTGGTTTATCCATGGGCCTTCTGGTGCTTTAAAAACCAGTATAATATAGTTTATCCATCGGTCTTCTGGTGCTTTAAAAGCCAGTATAATGTGGTTTATCTATGGGCCTTCTGGTACTTTAAAAACCAGTATAATGTGGTTTATCTATGGGCCTTCTGATACTTTAAAAACCAGTATAATGTGGTTTGTCCATGGGCCTTCTGGTACTTTAAAACCAGTATAATGTTGTTTATCCATGGGCCTTCTGGTGCTTTAAAAACTGTATAATGTGGTTTATCTATGGGCCTTCTGGTACTTTAAAAACTGTATAATATAGTTTATCCATCGGTCTTCTGATACTTTAGAAACTAGTATAATATAGTTTATCCATGGGCCTTCTGATACTTTAAAAACTAATATAATATAGTTTATTCTTGAGCCTTCTGATACTTTAAAACCAGTATAATGTGGTTTATCCATGGGCCTTCTGATACTTTAAAAACTAGTGTTATGTTCCTTTCCTTGTTGCATAAAATATGAAAATATTTAAACATCTAAAAGTGTTCCCAGAACAATCTTACTATAATGGACGAAGCGTGTATGTCAGTATCTACGTATATTACCAAAACTCCTGCGCCCTCTATTGAATGACACCACAAATAAAAATCGATAAAATTTTCACACTTTGGATTTTCAAGATTCAGACAATTAGAAGAATAACTGCGGTATGTGTAACAATCTTTTCTTTATTATAGAACACAATTTTAAATAAAAGTACTCTCCTCATAACAAGAACAGGACTTTCACTAGAACTGTACGTGAGGGTTTGATAATATCTTTGTTAATGTAAGTTTTAAATGTAGTACTGAGAAACTGGAGCTCTTTAAAAAAAACTTTCAATAAACGGAACCACTTTTAATATATAAAGACATTACAGTTTACAGCAGTAAAATTCATGAAAATTTTAAGCTCTGGACATTGAATCATTTTGATGCAATGAGTTGCGTATGACTAAAGAGCACAATCCGAACACGTTTTCCGTGCAATACTTCCCAGACAAGAAATTTTCTCTTTAAAGAAAATGTTCACTTTTTATACCTTTTTTTCAATGAGGTATGAATACTACGATTAGTAATTACTAGGACAAACATGGCGGCGTTTCTGCTGGTATATAGTAAATTGAATCTCAACAAAACGTTTGTCGGGTTGTAGCAGTCACTCCTTTCTAGAGCACTAATCTGGATGTTGTGAAGCGCCCGTGACTCACGTGGTCTGTATTTCACGTGCAGCTACTAGAAATAATGGCGTACTAGCTACGTCTCAGCCTCGAAGCAAGAGGAGAAATGTTGGAAGGACAAGTAACAAGTCACTCTTGTTGTCCAAAACGAGTAGCGCATGCATCCTGTTGTCTCAATACAGCAGCCGCTACTATATATCAACCTAAATGTGGTTCTAATTAGCTGTGTATTAGTACCGCAATGGTATAACATAGAACGGCTGGCTGATCATTGGTTGTATTTTAAATACTCTAGCTTCTGTACCCCTCTCTGGTGGCTGAATGGCGGTAAGCTTGAGGGCTTACGTCGCTCAAATTAGAAGTTCGATTCCTGTGATGAGAAAAGCCTTTATGCAGATTTACGCTAAAGAACAAACAAAAACTGGTTTTTATACGGTTCTTCCAACCAGTTTTTATACGGTAATTTATTGTTATTGGCATTTCATTATTAAAACGGTACAGAATGCTTTGTTTGGAGGTCTTTAATTGGAAGAGGAAAACTTCATAAAATATGCCGAGTTTACATGACTTTTAATAAACCTTGAAAGGGTAGACGTTGATATCAGCGACTTCTGGTGGCAGCTAAGAGGTTAATACATTACACCCCAACCCCCTTATCCGTATCCCAAGGCTTTCTTGCAATGCTTTTACTCGAGTCACCCTCCAGTGGAGATAAAAGAAAATGCACGTTTTTTTGTTTCGAAACTATTGTAAGTGGTATGAAGTCAGCGAAAATGCATAGTTTTTGCATTTTAAAAAATCTTTACAACCTTCAATACAGCTTCAAGATAAGCCTAAAAAACTGGAAACCTCTGCTCGTATGGATCGATTAGAATTCGCCAGAAAAGAAAATTCGTTGACCAAAATACAGTAGTTGCTTTTTTAAACCTTAAAGTTGGTTTAATTCTGGTGAATTTGGGAAATGATATGCATGCTAGCTTTTTGAAATAAACGTGCTATTTTCAGCATATTTGTAATTATTATTTAAATTCCAGTTTCATACTTCATAAAGTTTAACTTGTTAACCTTTGATATTAACCTTCATAAAATTTAAAACGTTAACCTTCATAACGTATAATACGTATTAATAGCCTCATAAAGTTTAAAATACTAACTTTTGTAAGGTATAACATGTGTTATTAGCTTTCATAAAACTTATTATTCGTCTTCATAAAATGTAACACATGTTCTTATCCTTCATAAACTACAGTATGTTCTTATCCTTCATAAGTTATATTACGTTCTTATCCTTCATAAAATACAGTATGTTCTTATCCTTAATAAAGTGTAACACATGTTCTTATCCTTCATAAGTTATATTACGTTCTTACCCTTCATAAAATACAGTATGTTCCTATCCATCATAAAGTGTAACACATGTTCTTATCCTTCATAAAGTACAGTATTTTCTTATCCTTCATAAGTTATATTACGTTCTTATCCTTCATAAACTACAGTATGTTCTTATCCATAATAAAGTGTAACACATGTTCTTATCCTTCATAAAGTACAGTATGTTCTTATCCTTCATAAGTTATATTACGTTCTTACCCTTCATAAAATACAGTATGTTCCTATCCATCATAAAGTGTAACACATGTTCTTATCCATCATAAAGTGTAACACACACATGTTCTTATCCACCATAAAGTATAACACATGTTCTTATCCATCATAAGTTATAATACGTTCTTATCCTTCATAAGGTACAGTTTGTTCTTATCCTTCATAAGTTATATTACGTTCTTATCCTTCATAAAGTACAGCATGTTCCTATCCATCATAAAGTGTAACACATGTTCTTATCCACCATAAAGTGTAACACATGTTATTATCCTTCATAAAATACAGTATGTTCCTATCCATAATAAAGTATAACACATGTTCTTATCCATCATAAGTTATATTACGTTCTTATCCTTCATAAATTATATTATGTTCTTATCCTTCATAAATTATATTATGTTCTTATCCTTCATAAGTTATATTATGTTATTATTATTCCGAAATTGCTTGTTGAAGCAATAACTTTTTTCTTTTTTGTGTTTTGATATGAAATAAAAATACGATATGTAAATATGTAATGAGAAAAGAAAAATAACAGTTTGGAAATTTTGTTATCAAAATCAGCAAAGCTTTGAAAAGAACGTTTAATTAAGTCTTCGGACATTGGGGACAAAAATAACAGTTTTAGAAAGATTCGGGGTTCAGAGTTAACTTATTTGTGTTGATAAATGCTGCAGCTATGTTACTACTATTATTTTACTTAAATATAAATATTTAACATGGCAGGCTACCAAGACAGTTTTACCGACGCACGAGAGTCTCTAACTTAATGTAAATATTATCAAACGTAGGCAAAAATAACACATTCTGCAATTAGAATAGACACCCTAGAAAAAAGGAATAGACTCTTCCATTAGAGGCAGCCAGATATCGTGCGTGTGTGGTTTTTGAGTATTTTACACTTGGTTGATGGTAGCGAACGTGTGTGTGGTGAGAAGTAAACGGTATTAACATTCTGGTTCAGTGCACCGGTTCTTCCGTGAATCACAACGGAACAAGTGAACTTTAGATCGGTCTTTGAAAATCAGCAGTCAGCGAACATGTAAACCAGAAAACAGTTTAACTGAATGTTTACTACGACTACCGTGTTAAAAAATCGGAAACCAACGGACAAATAGAAGTAAAACTTAGAAGATAAACTAACCCTATTAATAACGAACACATCAACGAAGATTCGGTTTAGTAAGGTAAGCGTTATTTTTGTTTGGTAGAACCATGCATGATTCCATTTTATCAATATTTAATCAGACTCGTGCAGTTATATGACCACAGGTGGAATTTTGGATTCTGTGATTTTGTTGAGTTAACTGGGCGTGGTAGATGAATTATAATTTAATAGTGTAGTATTAGGGTGGTAGGCGTGGAAGAAGGAATATCTGGCCCTTTTTTGGGGAATAAATGTGCTAAGACTCAGAGTAAACTTAAAGATTAAAAAAAAGTTTATATAACTATCTAGTCCTAGATCATAGATGGATTTAAGTTGGGTGCTACTCACATCATTTGTCTTTACTTTGTAAGGAATGTTACCATAAACCTTGCTATATAAGTGAGCTTTTGGCTGCTGTTTTGAATGCGATAATATTCGAGGTCAGTACCAGAAAAATTTTGCTTTAAATAACGAAATTCTTTGCTTACGCATTTAACAGTTACAGGCATTTTTGGTTGTAGCACGAAGTGATTCTCCAAAGAAAAATGTTTTAGTTAATTAAGAAATTGGTAATTGAGAACATCATTGCTACTGACATTTGTAGTTTACTACATGTTTACATGTCTAATGGAACTGATCAAATAGGTCACTTTAAGAACTGATCAACCCGGTCACTTCAAGAACTGATCAAACAGGTCACTTTAAGAACTGATCATCCCGGTCACTTCGAGAACTGATCAAAATACATAGTACTTTTTCTTCACCTATCCAAGCGTAAATACAAATCTTTTAAATTCCAGCAGAGCCCAGGAAGTAGGGGTTTCTCCTGCGAACAATAAAGCCCACAAACATTGCGGTACGGTAGAGATATGCGTTGTTCTGGCAACCATAACTACGTGATTAAACACCAGGATATAACAGTGGCTTTCATTACAATTAGTGGCAAATTCTCATTTCTTGTCGAATAGCATAGTACTACCGATGTACCAAAACGTAAACACATAAAAATATGCTTAATATCAAAACGTAAACACATAAAAATATACTTAACACCAAAACGTAAACACATGAAAACATACTTAACACCACAACGTAAACACATGAAAACATACTTAACACCACAACGTAAACACATGAAAACATGCTTAACACCACAACGTAAACACATGAAAACATACTTAACACCAAAACGTAAAGATATAAAAAGATACTTAACAAAACACCAAAACGTAAACATATAAAAACAATACTTAATAGTAAGTACAGCGCGAATAACTTTAAACGCATACATATATATTATATTATATATAAAACCTTATTACTAGTTACTAGTATTATAGTGAGTATCTACCCCCACAAACGTGGCATAGTAGGTATCCAACCCTCATAACTATGGTACAGATAGTATCCAGCCCAATAAGTGTGGTATGTTCGGTAACCATCACAACTGTCTGACCGTTCACTAAAAACAGGAGTTCCTGGTTCAGTTTATCTCTGTTACTTATACAGGAATACTGTGTTCTAGACAGTCTGACCTTTCACTAAAAACAGGAGTTCCTGGTTCAGTTTATCTCTGTTACTTATACAGGAATACTGTGTTCTAGACAGTCTGACCGTTCACTAAAAACAGGAGTTTCTGGTTCAGTTTATCTCTGTTACTTATACAGGAATACCGTATTCTAGACAGTCTGACCGTTCACTAAAAACAGGAGTTCCTGGTTCAGTTTATCTCTGTTACTTATACAGGAATACTGTGTGCTAGATAGTCTGACCGTTCACTAAAAACAGGAGTTCCTGGTTCAGTTTATCTCTGTTACTTATACAGGAATACTGTGTTCTAGACAGTCTGACCGTTCACTAAAAACAGGAGTTCCTGGTTCAGTTTATCTCTGTTACTTATACAGGAATACCGTGTTCTAAACAGTCTGACCGTTCACTAAAAACAGGAGTTCCTGGT